TGGGGAATTCTGGGAGTTGAAGTCCACCCATCTTCAAGCGGCCAAGGTTGAGAAACACTGGATTAGATAGTTCAGGGCAGAATCTGGGGCAGGGGTGCTGGGTGGGAGGGAATCCCCTGAATTGAATGACTTCCCAGTCATTTTAGTGGGACTTGAGGGCTGGGGAATAATTCCAGCTAACATCTCTGCAGGTGAAGCAAAACTTCTTAGGTTGTAGTTTTGTTGACGGTGGGCCCTGGGCGTCACGCAGATTTCCATGCCCCCTCCCAAGACTCATAGGATCTGAATTAGAGGAGTTTTGCCAATCCGTCCTTGTGCTTCCCTCGCCTCGACTTTAGGAGAAGAAGAAAGGCGGGGACGTGAAAACGGATGCCGAAAAGACCCCCACCGATAAAAAACGGGATCGTAGGAAAAAGAAGCTGATGAAGCGCGTGAAAGTGAAGGAGAGGGAGAGGCGGCAGAAACTCCTGGAGAAGAAATTGGAGCCGAACGCCAAGCTAAGCAAAAAAGCATCAGAAGTACAATTGAAGAAGCTGACCAAGGAAAGGGGAACCTCTTTGCTTAAGGTAGGGCTAACCGCGTGGGACTTAAGACCCTCAAATCCCAAAGCTTTGTCTGTTTGATGCCTTCATCCTGTTTTGTTAGCCAAGGGCTGGTATGCTGTTTTCCACAGCTGAAAAAAAATCACAGTCCGAAATTTCTTTGAACGAGAAACCTTTTGGCCGTCTAACAAGATTGTTAATGAAGAGGCAAAACAACCCGGAGAATTCCCGTTTTGACACTCCATCGCGTCTGTTACAACCGACCTGCTGTTTTGTTGTCTTCGTTAAGTTTTCCTGCCGGTGAAAGGGAGCAGGGAAGGAAAGGGGAATTTCACGCCTTTCCTGCTTCCCACCTAGATGCCATCTTCAAACAGCAAAGTTAAGATGCCTAGAAGCTCTCCCACCCCCCAGTCCTTTGGGCACAGATTCACCAAACAATAGCCCTCGAGCGCCATTGCTTGCTTCTGTGCCAGAGAGGGAGATTTATTGATGCCACTGTGTATCTAAAGATACCTGTATGGCTTCCCATTGAGCCCCAATCTATCCAAATCAGTTTAAATAAAACAATTAGCAGACCTGAAAAGCGGAGAATCAGACGCTCAAACGTCTCTCAGCAAAAGGGTTTCGGTGATCTTTGAGGGCTTTTATGAACCTGCTAAGGAGGCAACTCCCGTGCCTCTTTACCCCCAGGTAGAGTGGCGAGAGGAGACCTTTGTGGCAGGCAGAGGCTTGTGAGAGAAGGCGCCTATTCACTTGCTGGTTTTGCGTTCAGTAAACATTAAGATGATGGTAATATATTAAATGCCGCCCGACGCTCAACGACTGTGGGCGACTCACAACAATCAAAGAAATTGCCATCAAATCGGTTAAAGAGGCAAGATGGCCAGCGCGATGAAGGGAGGGGTCTCCCTCCCCCTCGCCAAAGGCTTGGTGAAGAGCCAGGCCTTCATAGCTGTTCTCAACAACAGCGGGGGGGGGGGGGATCCAGATCTCGGGGGGGCTCATTCCAGGTCCTCTGAATGTCCTTGGGTGAGATTCCCTCTATTCTCCTTGCAATTGAACTATGAGGCTTCGAACTGATTTAGCAATGCCGCAGATACCCGTTTGAAAAGATGATAGCAGAATTTCTGGCTTTGGCCAGCCCCCCCCCTTTTTTTAAAGGGCTCAGCCATTACGAGGGGGCTTATTTCAAGAATATTGATGTATTCGAGTGGAACTGACTTGCTCTCCCCCCTCTGTTAGAACCAGAGACACCCGGCTCACATCCTCCATTCTCATTAGCATGTGTGAAGCGTGAATGTGTAGATCGTGCCAAGTCCTTCTGGGGGCGTTGGGCTGCCAGGAGAATTGTCCTGCTTAACACAACGGCTGCCACTGCTGTTTAGTTATGGTCACGTTACAAATGGGGTTTTTTCCCCCTCCAGAAAGCACCGCTTGGCTCGAACCACTGCGTTGTAGAGATCGGTTTTTCTTTTCCTTTTTCAACAGTACGTGTGTTTCCATGTGGCGTATCTCAGTCATGCAAAATAAACGCTTCTCCTTTACAGGACGAGGGCAGAGAGAAGGCTTTGAAGTCGTCCAAGGCGTTCTTCTCTCAGCTGCAAGATCAAGTAAAAATGCAAATTAAGGAGTCGAAGAAAAGCACGAAGAGACCAAAGAAGCAAGAACTCTCAGCCCAGAAGCTAAAGCTATAATAAATTATGCATGCCCTACTTTGTATAAATTAAAATAAGGGTTGGGGGTGGTGGTGTTTTTCTTAATTTAAAACTCTGCTTTAAATCAAACTGTTGATGAGCATAGGTGTGTGCCCTTGCACGGAGCGCCACTGCTCTTGAAGTCATTGCTATATGTAGGGGTGTCCACGCTGCCATCTTGACCTTTTTGACCACGCCCGGCGGTCACCTCGGGCTACTCGTGATTCAGAGCATTTCTGTGTCAAAGGGACGAAGGAATTGGGGGGTCACCAGAAACCTTGGGAGCGGTCCCAAGGCTGACTCTACGGCGCCATCCTCTAGCCGGGCAGATTTTTTCAGGCTCGTTTGTTGTGGCTGGTTTTTGAAAGACTCACCTGTTCTTTTTGCGGGCCATAAATTGTTTTAATTCCTCTATTTAAAAAAAATACAACAACAGGAAGACAGCTCATAAAAAGAGCTAATCCACAACTTCATCATAATATGTAAGTTCCTGCGATTTAAGTCTTTGACCCCAACATTTTGTAGTCCTGAGGAATCTTATCCTTATTTACTAATAAAATCTGTAAAAGGATGTCACCTACCTTAAACATCTTTCCCATCTACATATCCTTACATATATGTTGTTATATGTGTGTATTTTTTCCAGAGGTACCATTTTACCATATTTAAGGGATGGGGTGATGATTCCCTTTTTAATGTGCAGGTTCATATTACTTAAAGAAAACCTTGGGGGTTGACGGACTTTTACTTTGTTTTTTTTTTAACATCTTACAGCAAAATACGGTTTGTGTTTCTTCAGGTCGTGATTGCCACTTAGCAGCACTAGGGCCAGCCCTGTCTGGGGTTGGAAGTGAACTAGGCTGGGTCTGATCAGCGCTGCTCCTGATGACCTGCTGGCTGGGGAATTCTGGGAGTTGAAGTCCACCCATCTTAAAAGTTCCCAAGGTTGAGAAACTAGAAACATGCTTTGGAGTGAAACCGTTGATTCAGGTCGTTTTTATGCTGAACAGAATGTATATTAAATAAGTGTATAAATTCTCATTTTTTAAGTCCCATCAGGGGTTGTGATGGGAAGCTTAAGATATTCATCTACCCTCCGTTCCACACTTCTGATTGCTTTTGTTGGAGGCTGTAAAACATCTGGAATATTAGGGGTTTGGGATATTTGTTCCATGGCCAAGAGGAATAGGAAAAAGTGGTTTATTTTTTTTTTTTCAAGAGCTTGGATTCCTTCAAATGCCTGGGAAAATGGGTAGCGGCTGTGTTTTATTTTCCTGCCTGGTTTATTTTTTTTTTTTCAAGAGCTTGGATTCCTTCAAATGCCTGGGAAAATGGGTAGCGGCTGTGTTTTATTTTCCTGCCTGGTTTATTTTTTTTTTTTCAAGAGCTTGGATTCCTTCAAATGCCTGGGAAAATGGGTAGCGGCTGTATTTCATTGTCCGGCCTGGTGTATGATATTAAAAATTTTTCTTCCTTTTGTAGAAATGTAATTGATCGTAAGAACAGACCCTTCTAACTTGTCCGGTTAAAGTGGCACCATTTTCTCATCTTAACAAGACTAAAAGCGGGCAAGACAGCTCAGGAATCATTATCACTATTCAAAGTGCTTATTCAGCCTGCAAAATTACCTTTCAGGCCTATCGTTTGCCACAATTATCCCTTTTAGGTTGAAAAGAAGTTTTATGCCCTTAATGCATTC